TAACTGACATACCACAGAGCTGCACAATTAACTTCCGGACTTCGAGGGCCAGTATTTCACAGGGTTAGCTACATTGACTCCTTGCGATCTTGCTTACGGTACGAAAAGTGCAAAAACGCATAATCGCACCGGAGCACAGGGTTAGCTAATTTGATTCCTTGCGATCTTGCTACGGCACGAAAAGTGCAAAAACGCATAATCGCACCGGCCCGCCTCTACACTGACTCCTTGCGATCTTGCTATGGTACGAAAAGTGCAAAAACGCATAATCGCACCGGCCCGCCTGGCGTTCCAGCCTGGGTTTATGCGTTTTTGCCGTGCAGCGTTAGAGCGCTGCAACAGGCAGCAAAAACGCATATTGGAACGACAAACAATTTCCACTAGCAAAACGTCGGTTTTTGTGCGTTTTGTGCTGTGCAACAGCTGCACAAAACACATTGCCACGAGGTTGTCTGTGTTTGTGTGTATGTGTGTGTGCGTATGTGTATTCGTAGCAACTTGTCCGCATCTTTCAACTCGGGACCGCAAAAGCTAAGGAGCTGAAAATGTAGGGGTGTGTTCCGCGCCTATCTATGACCCCGCATTAGCATCTCCGTGCGCGCGGGCAATACGTGCGGCCGCGCAAAAAGTTTTTGCTTGAAAAATTATCTCAGGAACCGCGAAAGCTAGAAGGCTGAAATTCTGTGGGCGTTTCCCATGCCCACGTGCGACCCAGAAAATTTAAATTCAGTTTTCTCGTGTCTGCGAGTAACACGTACGGCTCTATAAATTTTTTGGCACGGAAATTGTCTCGGGAAAGATCTAGAAAACTGAAGTTTTAGGACAGTGACCCTCTGCCCACTTACGACCTCGCACATTCAAGTTCAGCGTTCTTGCGCTCTTGGGTGACATCTACAGTCCCGAGAAAACTTCTGGTGGGGAAAATTACTATTTCGAGAACTGTGGAAGCCAGAAAGCTGTAATTTTAAGGTAGGGTTCCCTGCTTACGTGTGAACCCGCAAATTTAATTCCTGCCTTCCCCTGCCCTTGGGTACCGCGTACCACCCCATGAAATTTTTCACTGGGAATTATTGTCTCGAAAACTATGAAAGCTCGGAAGCTGAGCTTTCAGTGTAATGACTTCTGTCCACTCCCACGCAGGCTTCGCAAGTTTAAATTCAGCCTCCTCGCGCACTTGGGTATCACGTACGGCCCCATGAAAATTTTGGCGGGGAAATTGTTGTCTCGGGAACTATAAAAGCTAGGAGGGTGAAATTTTACAGTAATATCCGCTGCCTATATACACCCATTCGCAAATTTAAATTTAGTTTTCCCACGGGTATCAAATGTGGCCCGGTGAAAGTACTGGTGGGGAAATTATTATCTGCCTCGTGAGTCACAAAAGCGAAGGAGCCAAAATTTTAGGATGATGTCCCCTACCCAGTTGTAGAACTCCGCAACTTTAAATTCAGCTTACCCCTAGGTCTGGGTGCCACGTACGATCATGTGAAAGTTTTGGCGGGGGAATTGGGAATCACCAAAGCTGGGAAGCTGGAATTTTAGGATATTATTCTCTGCCCACGTACGACGCCACAAATTCAAATTCGGCTTTCATGTACATCTGGTCTCAATGTCTCCGTGTTTTGGCAGGAGAATTATTGCCTGGAAACCAGAAGAGGCAGATTCTGAAAATTTTGGGATGATGTTTTCTGCCTAGGCAGAGAGCACACAAACACAAATTTAGCTCCCAGGTGTGCCGATGTCTTGCGCATGACCACTTAAAAGTTGTAGCGCGGGAACCACTTAAAAGCCTGAAAATTAGGAGGTCGATTTTGGAAGAATGTTCACCGTACGTGATTTTAGTGGGAAATTTCGCAACTTAGGAACCAGACAACATTTCGACTATTTTTGCGCAGGCTAAAGTGCAAGGCATTGGAAATCCTTAGCAGGCAAACGTTCTCTGGACGGAACTGCGCAAAATGCATGATCGCACCGGCTACCCTGGTGTGCACCGCTATTTACTTTTCTTTTGTTCCCCCACCTACCACATTCAAACCCCTGCTTATTCTCTGTCAACCGCCGGCAGAATTTTTTTTGCGGGTCGTGTATGACATCGGCTGAGCTGAGCCGAGTTTTTATGCGTTTTATGCTGTAACAATTGCACAAAACGCATATTATCGAGACCTTGCCGTGTGTGTGTGTATGTGTGTGTTTGTGTGTGTGTGTTTGTGTGTGTTCCGAGTTGACTTTTATCCGTTAGTTTCAATTCGTGGACCAGAGAGACTGGAGAGCTGAAATTTTTGCAAAATGGTTGTCGCCTGCGTGCGGCCCCGTATATTTAAATTCAGCCTTCACGTACCCCCAGGCACCACGTACAACCTCGCAAAATTTATGGTAGAGACAATTATTATCTCGGGAACCACGAAACCTCGGAGGCTGATATTTTGGGGTAATGCCCCCTGCGTATTTGCATCACCGCAAATTTAAATTCCAGCCTTCCTATTCTACTAGGTATTACGTACGCCCCGTAAAAGTTTTGGCGGGAAAAATTATCTCAGGAGTAAGAATAACTGAGGGTCTGAAAACTTCAGGAGAACGTTTTTTGCTTATGCAGGGATCTAACAAACTCAAACTTAGCTCCCAATTATGATGTCTCGCGTACGACCTCCTGAAAATTTAGGCTTGAAATGATCGGAAGCCAGAGAACCAGGAGTTTAAGATTTTGGAGCAATGTCCGCCGTGCAAGGTTTTAAATTCAGGTTCCACGTACGTTTGCGTCTCACGTAATGGTACACGAAGTTTTTGATGGAAAATCTTGCAGTTTCGGAAACAGACAGAATATCGACTATTCTTTCACAGACCAGAATGTAAAACAGTGAAAATCCTTAGGAGGCAAACGTCCGCTGGTCAAAATTACGCGAAGCGCATGGTGGTACCGGCTACCGTGGTCTTTGCCGCTATTTACTGTAATTACCGTGGATAGTGTGATTTGGGGGCACTGGTGGGTGGGTGCCCAGATACAGCCTCGGGACACGGATTAGGGACAGGATAGAAGGGCGAACAAGGGTACTAGTCAGGAGTTGGGGACATAAATGAAGACAGTGGTTAGAAGGCGGTGGATGATGGATGTCCAAATGCCGTGTTGGAGTGCGCGCCGCTATTTGTTTTGCTTAAAAGCCTGTCTGCGGTAGTAAGTTTCCTTATTTATGAAGCTGATGCTTAGATAATGCTGAGTGCTCAGCTTTACCTGCGCAGCTTTATCTTGTTTGCGCTTAGGTGTAACCTAAGCATCAGCTTCGATAAATCGGGAAATCCTCTACTGATGATGGATTTTATAGGATAATTGACTTGGGGGTAGTGGCTTAAGTCATGGGGGTTGTTAGGGAAGAGGATGGAGCTATTAACTTGAAAAAACTTGATGGGAGGTAGAGGTTGGAAATGAATGGGATTTATAGGGGAGGGAAATTTTTTTATGCTCAGCCTGAAATTTACCGCCGAAGGAAAGTTAGCCGCGCAATATGCACTCATTTTAGTAATTACTAAAACTTGGCTCAACTTCATAAAACACATTCTGTTCTGCACAAATGAAATGCCACAGTTTTGGTGAGTATCGTTTCCCGATGTGTTTGGGTAGCCTCTTCTGAGCACTGGGACGTTCCGTGTGCGCTAAACAACGTAATTTGAAGGGTGGTGGATGGAAGGGGGAGACTGCGTGGTGCTGGTTTGAACCGCAGAGACTTATGGCAAGGGAGAGGTTTTGGCAAAGTATTTCACTATTAAAGTTCTTTTCAGTGCAAAACTGCGTGGCACCCTTTCACTCTTTGTAGGATTTGAGTTTCGCTGCTTTTATTTTAGAAATTATCAGAGGCGGACTGCTTGTAAAAGAAGAACCTCCTACGGAGTCTGAGCAACCAATGTTTGATCCGGAACAGGGTTCTGATAATGAAATGCTGGAGCGGAAGTGCGAAAGTATTGGCATGGAAGTACCAGACGGGCCGTATTCCGTCCTGTAAGTTCATGTGTTTTTCTCGATTATGCATTATATGGGCTGTTTAGTTTAGATGCATGTCCTGAAGTTTGATTTATTTGCCACTAATGTTACCAAAATTTTTTTCTTTTCTCTGTGTATTTGTGATGTTGATAACTAGAGAATTGTGCTGTCTGCTTTAGAAAAAAAAATTTTACTTATGTCCGATGCTGGTTTTTTCTTTTTCAGGGGCATATTTGACATCGCTGCAGTCAAACGAAACGACGCTGAATCGGACTATTGGGGGGACCCTCGTTTTCTTTGCAATCGGCGGAACGCTTTTAATTGGAAAAGGTATTAATGAATCACTACAGTTGTATCTTTGGGCTTGTAATTTGTCCAGATTCCCTGAGAATGAAAGCATAAAATCGGGCATTTCTAGTTTCCGTTTTGGCGAAAATAACTTGATGTTATCGCTTCTCGTTAAAGAATTGCATTAGCAGTTAATGGTATCATTATTAATAATGTATTTTAGCGCAGCCTATCGCTTCCACCTTTTGGGGCTGTCAGTGTTGCTTAGGGGTCAGTTTGCCTAAAACTGACTACTTTTCAATTTTTGTATATGCAGGGATAAGTCCTCGAAGCATACGCTGGGGCCAAACGCTCGCCGTTTTGTCAAGCAGCTCTTGTTTGGAAAGTTAGACGTTCCGGCATCACGTTTGGATAGCAGTTATTATCAGCCGAAGATGTACACGCGCATTGTGCTTTCGAATCTTCGTAAGCTTTGTCTGGAAAAGAAAAAAGCCGTAAATGCAGAAGAGGTAGGAACATTGCTTCAGTAATTTTAATTTACAGACTACGGTATAATTACTGCAGTTTTTGCCCACAACTGTTAGATCGCTTGCTGGATTACATATGTTAAATTAACACAAATCCTGCAGTAGCTCTCACACCATTTTGGTTATTGCAATAAAATGTTCTGGACATGGATTGCGTTAAGCTTGTTGGGTGTGCGAATGTGGAGGATGCAAGGGTAATGGTAGACGTTAACAGCGTTTTCGTTCACGGGAGGGGGTGGGGATGCAATGGTAATGAAGATTTTAAGATGTGAAACTAAATATGTATAAAACACATGTAGATTGTCATTCAGTAATATTTTAGAAATAATTAAGCCCTGCCAACCGGAAAATAAGAATAGAAACAAGCGTGGACTGTACAGACAAATGGCGTAGACAGCAGACCACATCATCAACTTGTATATAATCATGCATGTATATATATCATATATATATATATATACATATACCATATTATCATACATGTACATATATATATGTACATATATGTATGTATATATATGTATAATATGTATATATATATATA